TCGCTCATTTTCTTTGCAAGATTGTCGGAATCCTGAACTATAGGTAAAAAGTACAGCTATAGGCATCATACGGAGTACAGAGTACAGCAGATCTAATCATCATCAGATTAGGTTGTCGCTAGAAGTGGTTCCTCCCCGGATTAAATGGATGTTCGCCACTCGGTTCTACTCCGTCGGTTCCGTTCCATCACCAGAGATTAACATCACAACTGCAACGATGTCCACGAGATAGCCTTTCAAGGCCAACGAAACACCATCACATGTGTTTGGCTGGGTCTTCTGCATTCCAGGGGAATCATGGGACTGACGTTACCTTGCGCTGTGGTATGCCGCGAATCCGCCGTTGAATCATACGTGGGCCTTCCGTTGCGATGCGAGATTTGTGCGTGGTTTAGTGTATCTTGAAGATCCACACTTTGGAGCTTCAGGATGAACTACGCATAAAAGTCGCATTTTCGCCTCGTTTCGACTGCATTCATCTACGTCAAATTTTACTCTTTATTAATGATGAAGAATCTGTATTTCAAAAGATTCAAAGATAGTCATTTGTCATCAGTTGCACTTCAAAAACCATGCGATCGCCTGTTCCCGCTGCTGCACTTCAGTATCATACATGCTCTTTTCTTTCATACTGCATGCTCTCATCATCATTGACAGGACACACAGCTTGTACAAGATCTCTCGAAACTGCAATTGCATAAATAGAGATCCTGGCTGACTGGTGCTGCATTTTACCAACTTGCCATTGTCCATCTGGGGCAACCCTAACCGTACCCAACCTGGGCTGTCGCCTTTCTTTCAGATCTTCTGAGTTGAGCATACATCTTCCTCTGAAGATAACCATGTCTACGGAAATGTGGTCTCCTCCAGCCTCGTTCCCTGTAGCGTCGAGTGCACGTTGCCTCACAAGCGTGTTTTTCGTTAGCAATGTGCATTGCTCTTCGTGCGTCGCGTACATCACCGAGGTTCTCTCAGAAGAACCAGGGGTGGAAAATATCTCAGTTTCTATCTTGACGCATGAAGTCCGCGTGCTGCACAGCTTAGACTCGAAGCCAGCAGACTTAGCCAGTGCCCTCATTCGAGCAGCCTTCGAAGTCCATCATGTTACCACATACGATCATGATGGCACGGTAATATCCGATCTTGATACAACGTCAGAATCTGGATTTTTCTCTGCCCTCCATTCCCCTGCATCCGCCTCGGCTTCCGAAAACAGGCGGCATATCCTCAATTGCGATGCTTGCAGGAAAGAAGAATTTGAGCGACAGACAGCAGCATCAGCAGCAGCAGCGGATACATCGAAAGAAGCTACTGCGACTCCTTCGACAGATGTCAAAGCCCAAAACTCCTCTGACGTTGAAAGTCCTGTTCCCCGAAAGTCTCTAACAGATGCGAGTAGCTCAACCGTCGTGAGTGACACTCAGCAGGTGCGTTCGCCGGGTGATAAAGAGTTCCTTGCTCGTATCAGCATTGGTGGGATGACTTGTGCATCGTGCGTCAATACTGTTACAAAAGAGGTCCAACAGCTCGACTTTGTCCGTGAGGTGACCGTCAATCTTCTCACCAATAGTGCAACGCTGCTCTATACAGGCCCTCAAAGAAACATCGACAAGGTTGTTGACTTGATAGAAGACATCGGTTATGAAGCTTCTGTGGACGAAGTTGAGCCGGTCATTGCAACTCCACCTTCGTCTCCAGTCTATCTCGCCGAAATTGCCATTGGTGGAATGACCTGTGGCTCCTGTTCTGCGACCATCACCCGAGGGCTTGAAGAAATGCCCTTTGTGACGGAAGTTTCTGTGAATCTCCTGGCTCACAGTGGCAGAGTTCAGTTTGTGGGACGGGAAAATGTTGATGCCATTATGGAGAAAATCGATAGCCTTGGTTACGAGGCCTCCCTCGACAACATCCAACCTGCGGTCGTGAACAACGAGCAGAAGAAACAGAAACGGACAGTCTCAATTCGCGTGGATGGCATGTTCTGCCACCATTGTCCGAAGCGGGCTCTCGACTCTTTGAAGGTGTTTCCCGACGTGGAATGCGAAGGAACATTGTCCCTCAACAGCAACGTGCTGAAAGTTACATATACGCCTGGCCCTCCTTCATTGACAATCCGGGCCATCATTCAGGCCATTGAGTCAGCGCATGATGCTTTCCAGGCATCTGTCTTCCATCCTCCCAGTCTCGAAGATCGATCTCGCGCCATGCAGCTGCACGAACGTCGCCGATTGTTAATGCGCTTTACCTTTGTTTTGCTGGTGGCGATCCCAACTTTCTTGATTGGTATTGTCTTCATGAGCCTTGTGTCATCGAACAACGGGGTTAGGAAATATTTAGAGCAACCGATGTGGGCTGGAAGTGTCTCCCGGATGGAATGGGCCCTCTTCATCATGACCACGCCGGTCATGTTCTATGGCACAGACATTTTCCACGTACGAGCCATGAAAGAGATCTATTCACTTTGGCGACCAGGAAGCCGCACTCCAATACTGCGAAGATTCTATCGCTTCGGCAGCATGAATCTTCTGATTTCTGCTGGCACCACGGTGGCATACGTGTCTTCGTTGGCTGTTCTCATCATGGATGCCGCCGCAAACTCATCCACCAGCAGCCACAGCACAACATATTTTGACTCAGTGGTGTTTCTGACGTTGTTCATCCTCGCTGGTCGATTCATGGAAGCCTACAGCAAGGCGCGGACAGGAGATGCAGTTGCGTCTCTCGGAAAGCTCAGGCCCTCTGAAGCAAGATTGGTCGAAAAGTCCACTCCTATCGATCAGGCCGAATCTGGGGAATCATCCTCGCTTGAGAGTCAAAAGCGGATTGCAGTTGATCTCCTCGAAATCGGAGACGTTGTCAGCATCCCTCACGGCGCCTCTCCTCCCGCAGACGGTGTCATCATTGGTCCAAATACCTACCAGTTCGACGAGAGTTCCTTGACTGGAGAATCCAAGCCAGTGCAAAAGTCAGCGGGTGAGCAAGTTTTCACAGGATCTGTGAATGTTGGCCAGCCCGTGAAAATCAAGATTACTGCTCTCGGCGGTTCTTCCATGCTGGACCAGATCATCCACGTGGTCCGCGAGGGACAGAGCAGACGAGCTCCTCTGGAAAGGGTTGCAGACGTACTCACATCCCATTTCGTACCTGTGATCACACTCATAGCAATCCTCACATTTATCATCTGGCTCTCTCTCGGGCTTTCTGGAGCGTTGCCCCCGGACTACCTTGACACGACGCGGGGTGGCTGGACTTTTTGGAGCCTACAGTTTGCAATTGCTGTGTTCGTTGTTGCCTGTCCGTGTGGGTTGGCCCTTGCTGCCCCTACAGCCCTCTTCGTGGGCGGTGGGTTGGCTGCTAGACACGGCATTCTCGTCAAAGGCGGAGGAGAGGCGTTTCAAGAAGCGAGCCGCCTCAACGCGATCATCTTCGACAAGACGGGTACTCTTACAGAGGGCGGTAGTCTGAAGGTGTCTGACCATGAAGTCCTTGTTACGGATGCTGAGCAGATTCGAGTCGCCTGGAAGCTTGCTCAGCAGCTGGAGGAAAGCAGCAATCACCCAATCGCTCAAACGGTTTCTGCTTTTTGCAAAGGGCGTTCGGAAATTCCCGTCTTTGCTTCCGACATCGAAGAAAAATCTGGACAAGGCATGGTGGGCACCTTCACCGTCTCAATTAATGATCCTGCATCAAACTCCTCGACGACAGTAGTCTATGACGCCGCGATCGGCAACGAGGCTCTCCTCCAGAGCCTTGCTTCAGTAGACACTTCCCGTCTTTCCGGTCTGCTGAAAGAGTACCAGTCCGCAGGAAAATCCACTGCGATCCTCTCACTCCGCAAAATCGAACCAACGTCTACAGACAAACCCTCGTTCACGCCCGCCATCGTCTTTGCCACAACTGATGCCATCCGTCCACAGGCCTCAGAAATCATCTCTCAGCTCCGCAAGCGGAACGTCGATGTCTTCATGTGCACCGGGGACAACCAAACCACCGCCTACGCCGTCGCAGACATGGTCGGCATCTCCCGGTCAAACGTAATGGCCAACGTCATGCCAGCCGGCAAAGCAGACTTTGTCCGCAAGGTCCAGGATGGCCTGTATCCCGTCCGAAACGAAGACGAAGCCGAAAGCCAAACGAACCGATCCGGCTCACGGTCGATCGTCGCCTTCGTTGGCGACGGCGTTAACGACTCGCCCGCTCTCGCAGCCGCCGACGTCAGTATCGCCATGGCGTCCGGCTCTGACGTCGCCATGAACTCGGCCAGCTTCATCCTCCTCAACTCCGAGCTGGATACCATTCTCCAGCTTGTCCTCCTCAGCCGGCGCGTCTTCAACCGCGTCAAGATGAACTTTGGCTGGGCGGTTGTGTATAATCTCTGCCTTGTGCCTGTTGCTGCGGGCGTGTTCTATCCCATCGTCAGCGGACAGAAGCATATGATGATGGACGGCGAGATGGTCACTGTCAATAACCACTGGAGGCTTAGTCCGGTGTGGGCTGCGTTGGCCATGGCGTTGAGCAGCGTTTCGGTCATCTGCAGTAGTCTTGCTCTCGCGATTGACGGCCAGACGGTGAAGAAGGTGTTGGGTCGGTCTAGGTCTTGAAGGAGTTGGTTGAAAATTCTTATCATGTCACGGGCTGGCGTTGGGTATTGGAAGGGTATCGGAATGGGAGGGATTATTTTGATGACGGTTATGACTACGAACGACTTGTAAATACTCATAACTTGTTTGTCGTCTTGATCGACAACGAAGTTGTCATTCCTTGTGGCTTAATAACTATGCATGGCTATGGCTTTATGGCCACCACTTATACCTAATCGCGATGTACCATTACCCCTAATTCGAGAAAATTAAGATATTAATCTAGAGATATGAGATCCAACCCCTCAGTAAAACCTCTTGGATATTGCGACTGCTTGCCCTAGAGCAGATAGTAGAAATAAAAACTATTATCCCAGACACCAAGTGAAAAAACGTGTAGGGCGGCCGCTTCAGGCAAGGTCATCCGTCCGTACCCCAAATTTCGGCAATCTTCTTACTGAGCACTTTGCCCATCTTCTTACGGCCAACCAATGTCTTTGTGCGTTCAAAAACCATATCTTCTCGGCCCTTAGCATCCAGTTTCTCGAAAGCTTCGATGAACTCTCGCGGAGTGGACCATCGTTTTTGAATCTCAAGGGCCTTCTCCCCTGTGACGCCCCTCGTGCACATGAGCATCTTGAGAAAAACATCGCGGAGAGACAGGATATCGGATTTGGAGGTAAGAGCAGAAAAGGTAGAGAAGGTGACGGAGTATGTAACTGACGGATCACGAGCTCGGAGTCGGTCAAGTGCTGTGAGATAGGATTGAGCCGAGGACAATTGTCGACTAGGGATCAGGCTGAGGGTGTGTGTTGGTGGCGAAAAGCAGTACATCTTCTGTAGTAGAAAAGTCATGCGTGCCAGATAGCGGATCGTATCATCGAGATTCCGCGTCTGCTTGACGAAGTAGCCGTTGACGACCTGCGTCGAGGCGATGGCGGATGCCATCATTTCCTGATATTTCATGGCACTGGCACTGCCGACATCGTGGGTAATGGCGAACTCTTCGATTAGGTAGATGACGTTCTTGATGCCGGAGCGACGGAGACGGAATTTTTGTTCGTGGAATCGCCCGTCTTTGATAGACCCGAGGAGATCGTCCATCCTTTTTCGCTCCACGATCCAATCCAGCATCACCTCGTTGCATTCCTCGCCGTATTGTGAAAGGAACGTGTGGTCATTGCATCTGGCGACCCACATTGCATCTCCCAGTTCCAGGGCGCGTACTTCGGGGGTGATGCCTTTTTTGCTTAGCTCATTGGCAATGTAGTCACGGTCTTTGGATGACCGGACCTCGCGCGTGTCCAGTACCAGCTGGATTGTAAAACTGTTGGCGGGAAGTGTGATAGGTTCAATTCTGATCTCATCAATAGGATTTCTTCCTCGATCGTTGTCTTGTATTTGAATGTCTTCGTTATTCTGATCGTCTCGTATAAATTCTGGAACAACGATATCGTTGCTGTTATCACTAAGCCTCGGGCCAGCACTGGCGCCTGTATTGCTTTGAACATGTGTACTCGGGGCGCCTTGTTCGATTGACATTGAGCCCTAATAACGTTAAGTTCTGCTTCTTCATCCTTTACTGTCGTGCCTTACTGTTTGATGCCTGAAAGTCAACGTATTTGAATCTCCCCCGGGCAAAGTCTTCTTGATTCTCTTCGCAACTTCCCAACCTTCCTCAGTTAGCGCATACCTCCGGAGGGGCCGTCCATACTCGTAAACAAGCTCCTTCTGAAGAAGCGTCTTCATCGAATTCCAAGCGGTGTAAAATTTGGAAGGGTCAGGAGGGGCCGTGAAAGAACTGTCGCAATGTGGCTGAGCCTTCTCGATCAACTGAGCTTTCGTCAAGCCTTGAGACGCGTTCTCGTCCAGCGTTGCTAGACCTAGGAGTAGGGCGTAGGGACCGGAGCGCAGAGAAGGCACATATGGCTTTGCTTTCCGTGGTTTCTTCGCTGGCTGATCATCAACACCCTCATCGGACGTTCTTTTGCTAGCTGACGCCTTCTGAGGGTGTTCGGGCATCGGTAGCCCATTTTCTTCACAGTAAGCCTTCAGTTTCTCCGTTAAGCGCTCACATAGTTTCGGCCCAAGTCCGTTCAGCTGTTGTGCCTCGGACGGATGCTGAAAGACGAGCGGACAAGCCTTCATCGACTCATAGGCTTTCTTGTATCTGGCAACGCATTAGCTTCGCTGATAGAGGGAATTTGTCCAATAAGTATACTGACACTGTGACGCCTTTGCTGTTCCGTTCACGAGCCTGATCTAGCCATTCTTTGATCCACCCCAGGAGGAGGGGATTTGCACAGGTCTCACTCATTCTTCCTTCCGTCTACGAGCGATTTATCCGTCGAATTTTCATCATGAACTCAGAGAAATCAGCGATGCTGCTTTCACAGAACTCTCAGTTGAGAGAGCCTGATAAACACGTTTTTTGTTGGATTTCACGTGTATTTCCACTTTTGGCAAGATGAGGGAGGTGTGGCGTTGTTTGTGTGGCGTAGGTGGCATAATACATACCGTCCATCCGAACATAGTCACGTGATTAACAGGGTCCTTCCCTCTTTGGAGTTCACTTGCTGAACCTCAGGCTACAAGTATCGATGCCTTAGGTTTCTTAATAGTTCTGAAAACCCGTGTTGAGTGCTGTTGCCTAGACTATCCGTCGTACCTAATGATAATTGCAAGCTTTAGATACGGACCAAGGGAATCCAGATCTTTTGGGGGACCAGTGGTTGTTCACCAACAAGATAATTGCAGAGGATGACGTCGATGGTCCCGCAACAGGAGATCTACCTAAGAACACGCAGAGTTGTAGACATAAAAACGGAATGCACCTCCGTTATGTAAATCAATCCATCGTTGAATGCAATGTATTTCTCGGTTTGATCAATATTTTCAGTTTGTGTGAATGGAATAATGTCTGATGCACCAGAGTCCCTTCGCGCGCCAGAGCCTATATCGGCAGGGCTGGACAAGAGTACACATAATGACGAAAAGAAGCAAGATGACAACCTTGGGCCAACTGACAGCCATGTACTTTCTCAGGTAGAGCCTGAGGACGAGGCCAAAGGACTGGCTCAGAAAGCTGGAGTCACCAACGATGTCTCAGACATCGGATGGGGAGAATCTGACAAAATCGAAGAGAGAATTGTGACGGGATTGTCGAATGAGGATCTCTGGATGCTGATCCGTCGGTTCAATAAGGTATACTTGCTTTCAAGCCCTCGAAAGGAAATGCTGACAAGTGCAGCAAATCTACTGCGTCAAAGCTGTTCCGAATCCCCCATTACAGAAGCTGGATCTCAATCGGGCAGAAGATGAGAATTTCTCCCCAGATAAGCTGAGGGCTACTCTGGAGAGATTCTATACAACAGTGGTTATTGGCTTGACCAGTCTAGTTAAGCACATCGCTAGGCTTCGCTCATGGAGAGAGCCTCGGCGAACAGCAGCCTTTTGCGCAGTACGCTCGTCCCACATTGCGGCTAGTGGCCAATGAAGACTGAACAATATATACAGGTATACTCCGTAGCCTGGCTCTCGGACCTCCTCGTTCCCACGCTCTTTGGTACGATGCTTGTTCTGGTTATCTGGCCTCAATCTCGGAAGATCCTGTTCCCTCCCGCACCTCTTGCCCTGGTCGATAAATCTACCGGTGGCGTGCAGAAACCTAAGGCTGGAGTGCTCGGTTCCCATGACAGTGTGACGGGGGCTCCGGAGAAATATAAAGGTGAAGCCGCCGAGCAAGAAGCAAGTAATCTAATCACTAGCGTTGCCACTGTTGCTGTGGGAAGCGCTGCCGGGAAACATGATCAAGGCACACCGGAGGATGCTCCCATGGAATCGTCAGTCCCAGACGCGATGGATATCGTGTCGAAGACAGCCGATGCACAAGCTGCTGCTGGTGGAGAAGTGCCAGCCGATACTCACGACAAGACCAGGCAACCTATGAAGGAGACGGTGTTGAACGGCGCGAATCTGGCAATGCGAGTCCTCAGTGATATCATTGATACTTACGAGAGGTTTGGAAAGTAAGCTTTGGGTTCATGATACATAGTAGTGGCCCCATGGTTCTGACGTTCTGGCTGCAGTGCTCTCTCGCCAACACCACCTTTTTCGGCCTCAACCCCTTGTCTTCGCCTATCCAGCGTGCTCGCGGCCGGATTTCTGGGGTCATTATTGACTTCAAGCTATGTGTTCGTAAAATTGAGCACTTTCCTTTTTGGGTTTGTCTTTTTCGGTGATCCAATTCTTCAACGTCTCATGAGCTACTTGAATCATGAATTCCCACATTGGCAAAAGCTTCTCGAATTGCAAAAGTATGTGCGGCCCATAAGAGACACATGACAGACCGTCCGCTGACCTGATATCAGTTCCCTCTTGAAAGGAGTCCCTACTAATGCTCAGCTTACCCTCACACTTCTTCGCATTGGCGAATCGAATGCCGCACCCTTACCGCCGCCCCCTTCAAGCTCTCTCCATAAAACTCCGTCAAGGCCCGCCTCGATCCACCACGATCAATTGACCTTGGGAGCCACCGACGAGGAAATCAACCGAGCTGCAGCTCCTGAGCCGGAACAAGACGCAGTGCACGATACTCACGAGGACGAAAAGCCTAAGAAGAAGAATCTTGGTGCCAGAATAATTGGGTTTTTCAAGGGCACCACAGCGACGGGAATCGAGACCAAGCTCGCCGTTGATCGGGTCCGCGCCCAAGCTGGATCACATCATGCGAGGAATCATGTCGGTATCCTACGCAAGAAAGGCGTAGAGACCTTGCCCTACGGCCCTGTGGAGTTCGACGCAAGGTACAAGGGTAAACGAGGAACTGTGGTGATTGACTCCTCCCAGCAACCGCCGCTACTGTATTTCACGACAGACCCGGCTGTCAATCAGGGCGACTACAGATTGGATAGTAGAAAGAAAGGCACAGTGCTCTTCACAATACCGGTCACCGAAATCCAGGAAATGCGCAAGATCGGCGGGATGGGGTGGAAAGGGAAATTGGTTGCTGGCTGGGCTGTTGGCAGCAAGGAAGTTGTGGATGGCTTGGTCCTCATTGGGAAGCATCCGCACGATTCCTATCAGCTTACAGCGATGAGTACTCGAAACGAACTGTTCAACCGCTTGGTTGCCATTGATGGACAGGTTTGGGAAAACTTTTAATCATCATCCTACATTTACTGAAATACTCCTAGGTTTGGAAATGATGGTCCTGGATGATATCCAGACCCCACTGTACCCGTGGACGGACGGCTAGATTGAAGCTCTTATAACCTTTTAACGATTCATTATAATCTGATCGTTTACTGCGTACATACTTTTCATTTGGAGCATTATCAAATTCCATGGTCTAGCAGATATGTACATGTCTATTGGCAGTAAAAGTCTCCAGTTATACTAATATCCTCATTTCCCCAATACCTCCTGCTCGTAATAATCTTTAACAGCCTGCTCAAATGACGAGTCACGCTTGAACCCCAGCGCAATAGCCTGAGAATTATCAAATCGCGTAGGCCACGAGTCCAGAATCGGCCGAAGCGTCGGATCCTCCTTCTCCTTCAAAAGCGCCAGCTTATCCTTCCCGCCCACCTTCTCCAGCGCATCCATCATTTCCTGCACCGTGACGCAGATACCAGGCACATTGATCGACCGGATATGCGGAGGCAACGCATCACCCGACAACGACAGCGTAAGGACAAGGTTCTGCACAAGCGTCCGCGGCGAACAGAGCCAGGACTTGAACGACCGATCCTCAACCGGAATCACACACTCCTTCCCTGCCAATGGCTCCCGAATCATCCCCGAGAGAAACGACGAAGCCGCCGCAGTGGGTTGTCCAGGACGCACCGAGATCGTGGGGAACCGGAGCGTGAACCCCGTGATAAAGCCGCGCCTTGTGTACTCGTTAACAAGGGTCTCGCAGATCAGCTTTTCGGCGCCGTAGGAGCCCTGCGGGGTAGGAGTGACGCTGTCGTCGACCACGTCCGGAAGCGGTCGGCCGTAGACGGCTTGGCTGGATGAGTAGATGAACCGGACACCGGGGCAGGTTCTGCGGAGGGCCTCGAGGAGGGTGCGAGTCGCGTCGACGTTGACGCTCATTCCGAGGTCGAAGTTGGCTTCGGAGCCGGAGGACATGATGCCGTGGAAGGCGAAAACGGCGTCGAGGCTTTTGTCTACTACTGATTCTGCGCCGGCGAGTAGATCGGCTTTGATGGTCTTTGCATTTTGCGGGTATTTGACGCCCTTGGGGACGGGGGGCTCGAGGATATCGGTCAATGTGAGGTGGTAGGAGGGGTCATTGAGGAGCTCTTTTGCGAGCAACTGGCCGATGAAGCCGGCGGCGCCTGTGATGAGGATTTGCATATTGAGTCTTAGTGATTAATTTGAGTCAAGATGGGGGTATTTGCAAAACAGAAGATGGAGGAAACATGGCCTTTGTGAAGAGTTGTCGCATCAACTTATTTGGATGTGTAGTGGGGTCTCCGCATTCGCATCAAGTCCGAGGCCATTTTCTTCTTTCTCCGCAGCCGGACTTGAGCCGGTGATGTCGTTGAGACTGATTGAAGTGAGGGAGAGTTTGAACCTGAAGTAATTCAGAGACGACATCACTGGTGGAGCTTTTAAATATGGATCAGCAGTTTTCCTACTTGAGAAACTGGTGAGGCGGAGGGTCCGAAGGAAGTGAATGCGACGACAGCATCATCCTTGTATGCGGGGGCTTGCATTTGGAGATATCAACCAGCGTTCAATCATCGATAGGCCTCTGCTGATACACAAGAACCACCGATAGAATGGCGTTCACGATGATGGACGATGGGCGAGTTCGAAGAAGGACTGCTGCAAGAGTGCTCTATGTCCTGCTCTATATCCCACTCTGCCGTCGAATATATCTCCGTACCCCAGGTTTTGACCCCAGAATGTAGCTTCTCCAGGAATTCGATAGATCCCCGTCGCATATTCAAGATATTTTCTATGACAGAGAAAACCTACGAGAGATCAATCCGATATCGCCATCATAACCTTTATCTTTACGCCATCTAGCTGGTTAAACCAGCCATCTTCTCTCAGTGTTAGGCACTTCGACTCCAACTCGGGCGGGGTCAAATCTTGCTTTGGTCCCTCCCACGTTTTTCTGTCCCCCCCCACGCCTTTCACTCGCACCTCTCGACTCATCCGACCCATCTGCTCTTCTCATGTCAATGCGAAATTTGACGGACAACAATTCGCATATCATTGATCATCATAGGCACGTCCATAGATCGCTCCACTTCCGACAGCTGATTGCAGCGCTCCAAATCGCGAGTCTGCGACGGATGGTTGCATTACTCGCATAGTACCGGAGCATCCCCGATCAGCCCTCCCAATCAACAAACAATCAATCAATCATGGATCGATCCGATCTCAAGCGATCGTCTTCTGATGCCGGCCTCGAGTCTCCAAGACGATATGATCGCGGTTCCTCCGTTCTCGACGCTCGACCTCCTCCTCCTAGAGTCTCCAAAGCGCGTGCTTGTGAGTGACCCCGACTCGGCTTTCTGAGCGCCTCGTGGCAACGATGCAGAGATGCAAGGATCGCGGAAATATTTTCTACGTCTCGGTGGAGCTTCAAGCTGATGTTAGGAACGTGCAGGTGCGGAGTGCAAACGGCATAAGATCAAATGCGAGTTCAAACCAGGCGAAACTAGCTGCACCAAATGCACGCGCAGCGGCATCAAGTGTGTAGTCAATGACTTCTCGCAGAAGTTTGTTGATGACGATGGGATGTATGTTTTCTTGACGTGTATCTTTTGGTTATCTTATAGATTCGTCAATATGCTGATGGCTCATCGTCAAGATGGAAATCGCAAGCTGCTTCCGCGATTCACCAGCTCCAAGCGGCTGTGGGCGACCTTCTCCGCCAGAACGGACTTCCAGAGCTCTCCACGTATGCTTCAGGCGACCCTCAGAACGGACCCAGCCCGGTTGCTTCGCATGCGAACGGACATCGTGCTTCAATAGACAACTCACAACCGAGCCAGGGACAGAATGCGACGGGTGCCGTGATGGATGTCACTCGAGAACCTTCGCAGGAGCCGGACTTGCAGGGCCCGGAGCTGGTGCCGGCCCCTATGCGCAGCCTTTACGAAGTCACGAAACTACGAAACCTACGAAACAATCCTGTGGAGAAACCGAAGCTGACCCTGCTGGAGGAGGATTTCATATCGCGGGGGTTAATTTCTCTCCACGAGGCCGAGGAACTCTTCGCATACTTCAGTCGGACGATGAACCAGCTTCTCTGGGGAGGAATCATCCTCGTGCATCGAGATCTAACCTCTGTGAGACGAGCCTCAACACTGCTTTCCGCGGCTGTTCTTACCGTCGCTGCACTTCACATTCCCAATCGCAACGAGACGTTGAATCGATGCTACAGCGAGTACGTTTCCCTCGTGTCGAGCATGTCTCTGACGCGGGCTCATACTCTGGACGACATCCGTGGTCTCTGCGTCGGTGCCTTCTGGCTGTCTGAGCTGAGCTGGAAGCTCTCTGGCCATGCTGTCCGAATTGCAACGGAGCTGGGTCTCCACCAGAGCTACCAGCGGATGATCCGAGGTCATAGTGATCAATATGAGCGTGCACAACTATGGTACCTACTATATGTCTGCGACCATCATTTCAGCATCGCCTACGGCCGACCACCCGTCATCCATGAAGATGTCTCGATCAAAAATTATGAGACATTCCTCCAGTCACCAATGGTCGTCCCTGGTGACATTCGACTGCTGGCACAAGTAGCCTTGTTCATGATCCTTACGGAGGCCTATCGAATGTTTGGAAGCGATACGGAACAGGCACTTACGGAGGAAGATTTTGGCCAACTGAGGGTTTACAACGTTGCGGTTGATCAATGGCGCCTCCTCTGGCAACCACGATCAGGTAAGCCAGTATGCCATCATTCTCACAGCACTATCTAATTATCGCGGTAGCCGATAGCCCATACGTAAGGACGTATCCATCAAAAGGAGTGGTCCTGCATTACCATTTCGCAAAGTTCCAGCTGAATTCGCTTTCTCTTCGCGCGCTGTCACCGTCCAATACCCCAGTCTTCTCCATGGACCGGAAAGAATCGGCCAACATCGCCATTTCATCCGCCATGGCCTGCCTGAATATGGTATTGGAGGAACAGGATATCCGAGACGCCATTGTCGGCGTTCCCATTTTCACCCATACTATGGTTACTTTTTCCGCGGTCTTCCTGCTCAAGGTCGCCGTGAACTGGAATTCAGCCTACCTCAGTATCGACGGCCGCCAGGTGCGCCGTCTGGTAGAGCGAGTCATCGAGTTGTTGAACTGTGTCTCCGCTGGCGAAAGACACCTCACAAGACACATTGCGCGCGGTTTAAGCAAGATGCTCGAGCGGTTCGATTCATGGGAAACTGCGTGGCAGGCAGGCCGACCTGCCAACGCCGGTGGACTCCCCGTGGGAGGCACAGGAGCTGTTGACCGGTCAGAGGGTGAGGTACCAGGCGGTGCGAATGCCATGGCCCAGGGATTTCCACCACCAGACCTCATCTACGACATGGTTGGCACTTATGGCTTCGGGTTGGATGAGAATCTGCTTGACCCCAGTATGGCCAATTTTGAATTTCTGGCGCAATAAATCTGTCCTTGTTCTTGATACCCAGGAAGACAGGTTGTATATTTGAAATAAGAGTGTATATATAATATCGACATTTAACAAGATGGGGAATGTTGTTGTTGTTATTGACTGTTGACCTTTTGCCACGGAAAATACCGAATCCTGCCCCCCTGCATGACACCCACAAGCAGTCAAGACTCAGACACGCTTATCCCCAGCGTGATATGTTGTGCCTGGGCAGATGGTCCGTGCGAGTCTCCATATCGGGTTAGTTCCGGAGAAGCTGTTGCTGATTGAAATTTCGGTTGTAACCTGTAAATTACCGTACGCAAGATGTTTCACTTCCTGACATCATCATTATTCGCTGCTTACTTATACTCTGCTTATTACATAGCCACGCACTATTTCATTATGTCCACATCAAACCTTGCGGTATCCATTTTCTGAGAATTTCCACCAGACCACGCTTCCATCCTTTCTCCTACAGCCATCCGTTTTATTTCATCAAAGCTGTCAAGAGTTTTTGCATTTATGCTCTCTGAGACAAACTCATATTATAGGGGACTTTGTCTGTATGCTTGCTGACAGGAAACTTTCAAGCTTATTCTTCATAGGCTATCACAGTCAAGAGCTAAGGAACGAGGACGTCTGCGGAAGGGCTCCAAAGCGGACGGGAAGCATTCATCCTAGGAGCACAATGGACACGCACTGATGACGAGCAGTCATTGGTTGGATGTCGCTTTTCGCGGTATCCACACTGTCTGGGCCTAAAGCCGACGTCGTCACATACTCTAAAGTCCCAAGAACAAGCCGCAGCTTCAGCTCTCTTCTCTCTGTGTCCATCTGCTCCTGCTTAGCTTTCCCCAGCTCGCACTGCTCCTTACGGCTGGTCTCTGCCCATGTTTCTGTCATTGCTGACCGGCAACTCTTGTCGTTGCCCCTCTCGCTTCTTCCTCCCTCCCTGTCTGCTGAAGTAATGGCGCCGCTCATTCCGTTCCCCTCCCCCCTTGGAGGGCAGGATCTGGTTCTGATGGATTATGCTACCACCTAATCTCTAGCCGTAGTAGCTAGGTAGACCTACCTCCCCTGCGCCCTACCTACCCTTCTCCTCAGCCGTTTCCCTCTATAATTCCCTCTTTCCTCCCTTCCCATCCTTCTGTCCTCTCCTTTCCTCTCAAGTAGTCTCAGTCTCTTCTCTTATTCTCGACGCCCCCGGGTCTCTAAATCTTCCTTTCCATCCATATCTCTCTGCCATTGACCCGGCCCTTCTCTCTCTGTCTTTTGTATAAGCCACTTTCCATCCTAGATCACCATGTCCACGCGTAAGAGAAAGCAAGAAGCCGAGGAGGAAGAAGAACTCCAGGCGCTTCCTAGCGACGAAAGCGAAGAGGAAGAAGAGTAAGTTTGTTATCTCTCTGTTGCACGCTTCCAGATCCCGCTACACCCGTTGCATGCCTGCGCTCTGCGCCAACTGCCGGCGCATCTACTCTCTCGCATCGTCACGCGCCATCGACGCTCATCCACCTCCCTTATTGCCATTCACACATCATGCACACGGATAAAACAGCTAACTCGCGCTCCCTGCTAGATACGAAGACTCCGACGTAGGTGAAAGCGAGGAAGAAGAAGGTAGCGAAGAAGAAGAAGAGTTCGAAGAAGAAGAAGGCGAAGGCGAAGAGGAAGAGAAAGAGCCCGCCAAGGATAAAGGTAATTCCATCTCTATCTCTATCCCTTCTCTACCCGCCTTCAATGAACTTGCATCTAACATTCTTCACTCCCAGCTCCTCCCTCCAAGCGAAGAAAGACAGCCCCTGAAGCCGAGGCCAAAGAGAATGGCAACGGCGTCCCCGCCGAGGACGAGGATGAAGAAGAAGACGGTGAAGGCGAGCCAGAAGATGAAGAGCCTGCGGACACCGCCAAAACCAGCGCTCCTGCTGCTGCAGCGGCCAAGGCTAAGGGGAGCACTGTTCCCGCGGAGGCTGAGGTCGATGTTGGGGAGGAGGACGAGGAGTAGTCTTATTCTACTACTGTCGCGATAAGCTTCTGGTTAGCGGATACTGGCTTCAGGGCAGATTCAGGATAGCTATATATCTGGGATAATATACTGAGTTGAATTGATAATTGAAAACTATTTGATGTCATGCGATGTAAGGCTCACCTAGTATAAGGTCTGAAGTGGATGTACGGAGGATTGCTACACATCTATGTTTTGTGGTTGCTGTGCTCTACATATGCGGAAGAGCATCCACAGTGTGGACGCTCTCTTATGACCAGTCACTAGGAGAATAATAGGAACTATATGAAATCGTCGCATTAATTAATCTGCCTTTACCCTCCCAGCCCGTGCACTTTCTGAATTACGTAGCCACCATAGAGGCGGAGTTGCTTTATTCGCTATACGTGAGGATATGTATACTGTGACTAAGAGGACAAGGTATATCAGTGGACTTTCGCATCGCAGCGAGAATCCCAGGTTTTAGGCATCGCTTCCGCTGCTGCGAAAGGTCGCGCAGAGCTGGCAGTATTGGTGTGTGAGGTCGAGGACAGGCTGTGGCAGATTCGTCGCCTGCACGATGCTGCGGACCTTGACGGCTCCTTCGTCCTCAATGAGCTTCCGGATGAGGTAGAGTAACTCGGGAGAAAACTGCACACAGTTAGTCTTGTGCGGTCACTGACAAACTCAAGACAGAAACATACCTCGGAATACCAGCGATATTGCCATGCGATAAGCCGAATCAGGGAACCTAGCATGCCTCGCGTGTCGTTTCGGTTCTCATACATCTTCAGGATTCCACGCATGGCCTTGGGCGAGAACCGAATAGAGAGGCAGTGTTGATAGGCTTCGATCGCTTCGTCGAAGTGATGCAGACGCTCCGCAAGTTCGCCCAGGATCTCCCATTCGGTCGCCGACTTCTTGTACTCGATCGCTTGCTGCCGGAATTGAGCCATCTCCGTGCGCCAGATGGTGTAGATGCGCAAATCTTCGTATAAGACCATGAAGAGGTTATCTAGCCAGCGCTCACACAAACGCTTGTTCTTGAATTGTGTGTACGAAGAATGCGACGGGTCGGACTAGAAATTCAACATCAGCATCCCAAGATGTAAACGAGAGGCACATAGACTTACATCATCGTTGCCTGACTTGACGACTTCTGATGCCATCGATTGCTCCGGTTTTTCAATAGAACTTTCTACTTGCTCTTCGTTCACTCCATTGCCGTTGGCTGCAGTCTCGGCCGATGAATCCACGTCCTCAGCGCCAGAGCCGTCTCCATTCTCACCATTACCATTGGTCTCAACACTCTGGATCTCAGCGACAGAGTCAGTTTTACCAGGTTTCGATGTGGAGTGCTGACGCTCAACTCGGTACTCCTCTTCCATGACGAAAACCTCGCTGCGAATCTTGAGTAGCTGGTCCCAGCCAATCGAAGCCGCAATCTTTGTCAGTAGGTTGTAGGCCTTTAAAAATGTGCCTTGGTATGATGCAGCGTGCAGTTTTCTCAGGGACGGATGGATATAGTCGTGAGGGTCTCCTTGTTTAGGTTGCCCCTCGTCGATTTCATCCAGTATGCTCTCTGCAAGAATAGGAAGCATAATGCGTGACGGCTGGGGCATTCGAGGCGTGTCCTTGTCCTGATATGTGAACATGGGGCACGAGTTCAGGGTAAGGAGCGCCAAGTCCCATTGCTCGAGTGATACGTATACCTCGGCCAGCCGAGCCCATGTGCTGAATTCGCTCGGCGCGGCCGTCACAGCACGTTTTGCGCATTCCAGGGCCAATTCACCTTCTCCCTTGCCCATGCAGAACGCTGCTTGGCAATCAAGTAGTGCATAGTCCATTGGCACGTCTTGCAAAGCATCGTACATCAACCGTACAGCTTGTACTTCTTCGTCTGCCATTAACAGAACCCTTGCCAACAGCGACGAAACCTCTACATCTCGCGTACGAAGTTTCTCGAACAGATTCACCCCGGATGTATAGCGACCGGTTGTCTGGATGTACTTGAGAAGACCAGCTGTGAGATGGTTGCTGACGGTACTCGGTACTTGGGTTTCTGGATCGGAGCTTAGCTGCCTCCCTATAAGTTCTTATCAGTCTTTATCCGTCTACGCGGAATTGCCAAGACAGCGCACCCAGGAAGAATAGTCTTTCCGCAGCATCCAGAAACTTATGCTCCATCTCCGTGTTCGTTACCGGGTTGAATCGGCGAATACCAACGATCTTTCTGATGGCATCACCACTACCGTCGTCCGCGTAAGAATATGCTCTCAGTACCCCGCAGAGGAAGGTCTCAAGCCACAGGGCCTCCGTCGCAACACGCTTATCACCTCGCTCATCGATGCAATAGCTCTCCAGACTCCCTGGAATCTTCACTTCGACACGCATATCGAGATGCGAGAAGGCATTGTAACAGCTGCGCGAACGTTAACCATAACAGAACCATTGCATTCGTTAATTCGAGTTTCTGACCAGTAGATTCCAGAAACCACCTTGTGTGTCTTATCCAGAGGAGAAAAGGTAAGCGTGTTTACGTAGGCGGCCAGGCTGGCGGAGGACGAGGCATCGACGCCGGTGACATGATGGTAAACTCCAGTCTGTGAGCATTACAGTCTAATTAGCCCACTGCAATTGAAAATAGACTGTTTATTAAGACGTCGCAGTATTAGAAGAGGGTTGCTGCGACCAAACGTACCTGCCGGTTTGCGTTGGTCTTCGGCTGCTTGACCAAGTATACCAAATCTGGAGGACCTAATTCTCGTAGACTCTGGAGCGACTCCGTTCGCGCATCGACAGCCGCAAAGATCTCATCCTCTTCGTATATCCTAGAAGCATGTTAGAGGTCAATCGCAAGCCAATGGCGCCGACCGAAAACAACGGCGTAGAGAACAAGCCTCTCCGCAGCAACACGTAAATTGAGGGGGAAGCAACATACTCAGGAACAGCTGGCGCAACCATGGCGCTGGCAGGAGCGCAGTCAATTCCGCTTATGGGGCAAACTCAGACAAGTGGAAGTGAAATGCGGCTTAACTGTTTTCCAGCGTCAGATGGCGCAGTAGTCGCAGATGGGCTGCAGACTCGGTGATTATTCCCAGTCGTCGTAATCCGTAACAAAGGGACGCCGATCAGACCCGTATCTCTTCTCTTTCCTGTGGCAGCCTGGAAAGTTGGGGCCTGAGCGCTCAGGCACTCAGGCTATCCTATTTCGGGAAATTCGATCCCGGGTAAACGCGTGATGCGTGTCGCCAATTAAACTACTTATATCCGCATCTCGATCCCTTACAACTGAGCTTGAAAAGCTTCCTTGTTCTGAGGCTGAAATCATCAGTCTGAAATGGTGTCTATCATAGCCCGTTCATCGCAGGTGTCAGTGACCTTTTTGCGGGCCGCGTAGACGCCATCATGTCAAGCTGGGTGGCGTTGAATATTGAGCCTGACGAGGCAATTGAAGAAGAGGTCGATGATACGAAGGAGATACAGATTGAAGAAGCTTTGAAGCTCTATCAAAACGCCCTCAAGCTACACTCGCAGGGTCCACAGTTTTATTCCCAAGCTGCGGAGGCCTACGAAGCTCTCCTGAATTCGGAAATCTTCAAATATCCCGAATCGATTTCTGACTTTAAAAGATCTGCTCTGCAAGACTCCGAGGCACATCTTGATGATGATGTCGCAGTAATCGGCGCAGCAGAGACATTTGCAGATTTCAATGTCACCGATTCGACATCTAGCACTCTGTTACAGACGATCTATTTGTCCTATAAGAACCATGGGCAATTTACGCTTGATTCTCTGCAAGCTTTTCTACAGGAGAACCCCAGAACTTCTGACAAAGCCCGGGAGATTCTGTCCGAAGTGAACAAGCGTACGCACGCTGCTTTAGCTTCTTTTGCCGAAGCTTTGGAACGCGATGATACCGATCTTAATCTTTGGAGACGGAGTGCGAGGTTATCTAGCGCTCTGCACAGCTACAGACTAGCTCGATACTGCTTGGAAAGCGTTCTCGCGGATGACGAGAATCGCTTAGAAGTTCGAACAGATCAGCTAGGCTTGGACGAGACTTTTGCCCAAGGCCAGCTTCGGGAGACCCTTCAGGCGCTCGACGACAATCTATCCGTCTCTCAGGTTCCATTGAAGAAACCAAAACAGGCTCTTCTCAAGTTCCTCGAACGTCAAAAGGATCCCTATCCTTATCTTCCCGCCCTCCCCAGTCATGTGAGGGATGAAGACCCTTCCAAAAACCCGTTGGCCCTTCGTGCGTCCTGTTATCAACTGACCCCCGCGACCCATACATGGGCTGCTGTCGGCGACTCCATCCTTCAGGCTCTAATTGACATGGAGCTTGATGCGTCAAAATTTGGTCCTGGAACCTCAATTAGCTTTTCGATGCCAGACTCCACGGCGGATCTCCAATCCTCGGCCGCTGGAGAAGTCGCAGATCAGGATCAGTCTTCCCGTACGGAGAACGGCGAGTCTGCTCATCACATACCAGAACAGGACGCCGAGATAACAGTCACTACTGAAAGTGCAGCACCTAAGACACTCAAAAAGTCTCAGGACGCCGGCTCGATTTCAGAACACGCTGATGATCAATCGTCCATAGACCAGCGAGCTGAAAAGCAGCTTATGGAATCTCTTGAGAATCAATCGGCGCGGCAACATGATAGTGCGACTGTGCAGGACGCCCCAAATGTTGATGAAGTCGAGCCTAACCCATCAAGTGCTGGTCGGAAGAGGTCGTCTGCATCCGCTGCGAATGAGGACTACCAGGCCGAACCTGTTAGGACGAAGAGCAGAAGAACCCGCCTACGAGACTCAATCGCAGAAACTTCGCTCCAATCTGATGAGGTTTCTTTCGATCAGAATAAATATTATGAGGATCGCTTGCAAACTTACGTTGAAGCCGACGAGTGGATGTTTGACACGGTCGGGCCCCTACTGTCAAAGCTTGGAGTTGACAAGCTGGAGAGTCTTGATGAACTGCGGAGACAAGCTGCAGCCAACTGTTCGAAATCTCCCGTGGAGAAATCAGGCAATCAGCCCACGTCAGCGGTACATGTGCTGTATCGGGATCTGGACAGTATCGTCAAAACCTGGGACGAAGCAAAATCCCAAGCAATGCTGCAAGATGATACTTCGTTGACCTTCCAGGAGATGAAAGCCATGGACAACTCTGGCTTGGCCATCTTCCTGGAGCATTCGAGGAAATCTGCTCGCAAACCCGGACTCAAGCCCAGCTTTACGGACGACAAAGTTCTGAGCAAGTTCTTGAAGGGTGTCAATGACGAATGGCTCCACCTTCATGAAGTAGCCTTTGCCTGGCTCAAACTCGTTCTAATGCCGGTGTATGGGAAGTCGCCCGTGCGGAAGAACTCGCGCTCCAAAAAATGGCCAGTTGTGGAGTCAGCATACGTAGCCTTTCAGTGGCCAGACATGCTCAAAGAAAAGGTGGTCCAAATATTGATACGAGACGACGAGTACATCTTCAGAAAAATGCTTGAACAGGCCGAGCAAACTGAACTTCAAATCCTCAACCATACGCCCCAAACGCCATTCAAGTATACTCGTGATCATTTCGCTTACTTGGAGATGGCCCAGACAATATTCGAGATCCACCTCGACGTTTATGCCTCCATTAACAATCCCCACAGTGAGGTTGACCAGGATATAAGACTTGTGCAGCGGGATCGTCTGATGAGATGGAGCTTGCTTGCAAGAACAGCTTTGAGTCACTATCTGGATCATGGCCCATCGAAAAAGGATAGCCAGAATACCATTATTCTTCGCCATATATGGGCGTCGACTTTTCATTCCAATATGGAGCCAGACGTTCATCGTGAGCACATACTGCTGTGTCTTCAAGAGTTGAAAGAAATTTTGCATCGCCTGAGTATTCAAGAGATCCATCTTATGAACAACGCGATGATGCCTGAGTTGTCAGCGGATGCGATCGACCAGGAAATCTCAAAATTGAACTCCATGGACTTTTTCATGAAGATTTTCACCCCTGGTTCGGAGGATCCTGTCGAACTCATCGAAACGATTGAGCCGATTATAGAGCCCTCATCAGTTGAAATTCCCGAGGAGAGCGAATTTAATGACCAGTCGCTTTCACAGTCCATGTTACAACTTAAGGAGATGCGCTCATTCTTGGACCGAGGAGATGCTATGCTAAAACTGTTCTTGTGGCAAAGACTTCGGGATGCCTATCAGGCGATCGACTATCCTCCTAAAGTAGTCTCATGCTACCTTCGCAGTGTTGAGACGATAATTCAAGAACTTCTTGGCAATTCGTATCTCGAAGAAAGTAACGAGCACCGAGAAATAGCGTTGATTCGATGGCTCAAATCTCTTGACCGCATTCTAATGAAGCTGGTGACACTGGTCCTTCAGCAATCTGACAAGGCGTACGAGTGTCTTGATATGGAACATCTGAGGTCTTCCATGTCAGCCCTGACCATCATGACAAATCTTCTACACAGCTTTGCTCTTTACGAAGACTCCGTCCGTGTCGGGCAAACACCGTCGTCCTCCATGCGCGGTTCGTTGTCTAAAACCCTGGGAAATTTCACGGAGAAGTTAAGGGAGATGGAGGTTCGCTGTTGGATCTTACAATACACGCTTCTTAAAGAAGCAATTACCCAGAACGGGGATCTCTTCGAGACTCCTCTCGAGGACCGTATTCTCTTCCTACGCTCTGTGCACAATGCTCTTGGCGTTCGTAAGATGTGCAAACGGTCCAACAAGCAGTTCCTCAAGTTGATGAAGGCTGAATTCTTCAGCTTGGAGTCGAAGGAAGACTACGAGTCTGAGATTTGCCAGATTCTTTGGGATCTTTACGGCATCAATCTCTCTCCCTCCGGGGTTTTCTTGTTTGAGCATGAGTGTCCGCCGGAAAAGCTCGATCGTCCAACGGCTATCAAAATGATTGATTTTGTCTTGAAATTGGCGAAACGCATGAGTATCAAAGACTTGTCAAAATCAGAGCTGAAATCCACAATTGAGAAGATACAGCAAGCCATTGGAACAACAAAATCGTCGCCACCTCTTACATATAACAAGCGCATTCTGTCGGCTTACCTGAAGTCGCCAATCAATCCGACTGAACTCTTCCGCGCAGTCCGAGGTGTTGCGGATCTCCCGCTGATCCCAGTACCTACTGAGAGCGCGGTCATTGCCCAAAATGGATGGTATTTTCTGTTGGGCCATGCAGCCCTGACCAAGTTCCGCTCTCAAAAGCGCCTGAATCCGGTGCCGACTACTGATCTTGATGAAGCCATCACCTTCTTCAGACAAGATCTAGAACACGCTACTGGAAGATGGGAGTCTTGGTACAGGCTTGCTCAGACCTATGACTCAAAGTTGGAAGAAGATATCACTTGGTCTGCGGACAAAATCAACAACAATCGAACTGAGCTAGTGACTTGGCAACGGAACGCCATCCACTGCTATGCAATGGCGGTCGCGACAGCAATCAGGAACGCTGAGCCGACTCCTGAAACCCGAGCGACCTTGTCCGAGCTCTACACCGATTTTGGTATTCGGCTCTACTCGTCTTCCCGCGAACCCCTTTCTATGGCCGCCTTCAGTCTTGCAGACTTTACCCGTCATTACAGTAACGAAGAGAGCCAGCGGATGTACCAAGGGAAACCCTTCAAGGAGATGAGGTTGTACTCCGTGTGGAACTTGGCAAGATACCTTCTTAAGCGCGCAACCATTGACAAACCCAAGAGTTGGATGTAAGTACTCCTCGGCTGTTCCTGGGCTAGCCCGTTCCTTACAATGAAGCAGGAATCACTACATGTTGAGCAAGTGTCTCTGGAAGATGTTCAGTTGTGACGATTCCGTGAGGGGAAATGTTCAGCGTATCAGCGTCGATGATCTTCTGGATTCGCTACTTGATGCCATCGATACACTTCCCCAACGCAAAGATTCACGCTCGGATCCTATTTTTGAACCCCACTACAAACTGGTCTCGATCGTCCATAAGTTAGTCGATCGAGGCACACTCACGGTATGTGTTCTTTCCCGTTTCTCGTAACGTACAATCATGTTGACTATCTGTTCAGCCAGCTGAAGGAAGTCAAACCCTCATGGCCACCCCATTGGCTCGTAAAGTCCAGCCTCCCGAAGACAAGGCCGGATGGAAACCATATATTCTGGAGGTACTCCGGCGCTTGAAGCATGCGGATAAATCGAATTGGCATCATCGCATGGCTGTTCGGGCTGCACACGTTACATATGACGACACCAAGGACGGTGTCTCGGCGGCAGCAGCCAAAAACGAACTTACGCAGCAGATCTTCACCAAGACTATGACTATCCAGGTCTGGAGGCCGGAGTTCGAGCGTCCTGGAAGACATTTCGTGTATACTACCCGATATGTATACTTCTTCGTTAGTCTGCTGGATCAACTCAATGACCGAGCCAATCTGGATCAGCTATTGCGTCGCGTGAGAAAGAAGCAAGGTGATTTCATCAACCACGCCAAGCTATGGGAGGATGTCTGCCTTACCTACGCAAAGGTCATTCGAAGAGCAGGCAGCATCAACGAGGGACATGAAGAGAATGTATTCAAACCAATCGGATGGGAAGAATTCGTGGCCAACACAGCCCGCCTGGAGAATCTTCCCCAGCTAGCACCGGGCAGCCAAGTTCTACTGGAACTGCTTCGCGACGCTATCGAACTGAAAAAGCTCAACAATAACCTTATGAAAGTATCTTTGCTCGAGGACCTGATCGCCGACCTATACTCCCGCCTCTACGAGATTAACATGCCCCAAGTCCTCGAGCAAGCCAACGAGGAAAACAAAGAGAAAATGAAAGTCGACCACCTGCTCATGGCCAGCGACGGAGCCGCAGACACCCCGACGCCTCCGAACTCAGCGCCCGCCTCGGAAGCGCCCGCGCCTCGAGGGCGCACCAAGGGCATCGCCCGAAGGGACGTCCAAAAGCGAGCCGAAACGATCGTCAACCGCAAACTCACCCCGCGCGCGCCGGCCGCGAAGACATCGGTGCCTGCGGAGTCCGAGCCACCCGCTACGTCTGAGCCTGCCGAACCTTCGGGGAATCAGCCCAGTAAGACCAGTTTCGAAACGGGCCAGCAGAGCGATCTTCCCCAGAGCATTCAAGATAGCGCCGACGATGAGAGCGAGCTCAGCGAGATTGATGACGAGAAGTTATCGAAGCTCGCGGCGGAGCGTAAGCTCCTCTTCCCTAATCTACGGGATCGGATTTCGCCGGATCCTGATTCGGAGATGTCCGTTCCTGCCAGCGTTGATGGTGACGCGGTAGACGAGGTTGGGGATGGCGATGCTGACCTGGGCGAAGCTGAAGCGGGAGGCGAAACCACGGTAGAAGAAGGTGAAGGCGAAGGAGAAGAGGGTGATGAAGCGGATCTTGAGCGCGATGAAAATGATGGCGACGAGGAAGGCCTAGACGAAGGGGAAGGTAATGGGGAAGAGACAGAAGATGCGCAAGATATGGAAGACGAGGCAGAAGAACCTGAGGTCATCGAGGGTGATCCGACAAAGGAGAATGCTTCCGAACCTGAGCCAATGGAGACATGAGCACAGTGTCTGCGCCAGCAACATCAATCACCTTGCTCCAACTGTTACTATATGCAAGTGGCCTATTTGTTCTTATTGTATGACGTGGAAGGTGTTTGGGCGCATTGAACAGGTGAATGGCAAGTGGCGTTGGGGATCATGTATGAAGCCATGTATATTAGGCGAACATTAATAACTGATGATGGTATCTCAACTATTCCAGCGATCAATCAACGCCCAAAACTCCTTTCCTATCATGGACCCAAGGTATTCCGCCCAAAAGACAAACTCCAACCAAGACAGAAGTTCGAAACCTGAAACCTGGTTGAAACTAGATATCTTCCTCAGGGGCGAGATCCCACTTCCTTGTTGCCATCTTTCTGTGCTTTTTGCCGGGGGATGAGCATCCGGAAGCGGCAGGAGAGAACATGCTATCAGCTAATTTCAGCTGGTCCATACGACGAAGTGCGCTCTCAATGTCACTTTCACGACCAAGGTGATTGGATCCATGCGAAGGCTCCAGTGCGTTCTTAGATTTCGGCTTCTTGGTGGGTGAGCGGCCCATGAGTTCACGTTCAAGGGCAGCAATCCTGCTTCGCAGCTGATCATTCTCGAGTTCCAGTTCTTCTACTCGCTGATCGGTAGCTGAGCCGGGGTCCTCATAGACTGAGTGATAGATGTTAGCTGTATTTGAGGCAACGTGATCGTGGGCGACGTTCTTACCTTGGAATCCACGAGACAACAATTCAATCTTCTTATCAAGATGTTCATCATTGCGGCCAATCTGAATGCGTCAACCACAGTCAAATGCCCGCCCAAAAATTGAGTACGCACCTGTTCGTCAAACGCAGTCTGCCACCTCTTCCTCTCCTCTTCCATTCGCTCGTCCATGTCGGCCCAGCATTCCTCACGCACCTCCTGTTCAATGAGCAGGCACTTCTCCTCACTTGACTTGAGTCTCATCTCTAGGTCGACTCTCATGATTTCCTCTTCTGCAAGTCGCACGGCCAAGGTCTCATTCTCAGAAGTTAGTCGTGCAATCTCGGCAGCTGCCTTTTCAAGCTCTTCGCTCAAGGCTAGGTTGGGCGAGTTGCGTCCACTGGCGGCTCCTTTGCAGGAGCCCAGCGTGCTGGACAGAATAGACTCGGTGACAGATGGCACTCGGGGAACGGTTACTTCGCGAGCCAAGGCGGAATAACGCAGGATCTGCGATGTCGCATTATAATCACCCAATGGATCAGCTGTAACGATCATGATCGCTTTCTGCGGGTGGCGGTTGAAACCAGGCATCTGATTTGAGGACGGAAATGAGTTCGAAAACAGCAACTCCGTCAGCTTGCACTGTCTAAAAGGTACCAGAGCGGTCTATTACGAGTCAGCGAGGAAAGAGACATCATCAGCCTCACGAAACCCACCTTCCCTTCTTGGATTTCACTCTGCATCTGTAAACATTGTCCCAGATACATGAGACTCTCATTGATTTTACCGGCTTCGGCCAGGGTAGATCCCGCCGTCTTTGCAGTTCTCGCCCGCTCGGAACCTACAATCGTCAGAAGAGAAATGACACCGGTTTCTCAGTGACTTACCAGCAAGATCTGCAACAGTGAGCGTGTTTCCAATCCAAGTCTCTTCTCCTGTTCTCTTATTTCTCATCCTCCTCTTAACTTCAAGGCAGAAGAATCCGTGGCTCCGGGAACTAACACTGTTAGCACTGGTCCCTGTCACTCTACGCTCGGTCATCCCGACTTCGAGGACTGCCAGGGCCTCTTCGTATGTGCTACAAGCAATCTTGCGGAGCCCGGCCACGACCTTTCTGTCAGGGGATCCTTCGGTCGACTTGTACAGAAGGGGTCTGCGACGGTCTTTCTGGGCGTTTGCTCCTTGGCGCGACATGGCACTTCCTTGACCGGGTACGACGGCAGGCGACAGTAAATCGAAGATTCGATCGTTGTACACCTCATACATTGAAACGAGGACAATGTATTCGGAGTTGTGGTTTAGTTCGACGGTCAAGTGGCTAACATCCGGCAAACGAGGCAACATGCTGGGCTTTTGAGGCATATTGCGACGAGGGAAGACGAGGGCAGGAGTCGGTTCCTGAAGTATGTGAGAAGATTGTTTAGCATAATCGAACGGGCTCCTATCTGTGGCAGTGGACGAAGGTGCTTTGAAGGAACCGAGGATAATCCGGCTGATTCTCTCCTTGAAGAGAGCCGTTGGAGCAGTACGGTAGGTGCGGCGCGGACCAGGGGAAACAGCTCCTTTGAGGGGGGATTGAGGGGTTGAGGGGCCAGTAGAGGGTTTGGGTGAGCGTCCGGGAATTGATGGACGTAATGCTTGGGTTCCTTGTAACGGGCTCAGAGGAATGGGGTACCGTACCGTCATGGGTGTCTCGGCCCTAGAGGAGCTCATGGGGGTTTGTGCTCGAGAGTTTCTTCCACGATCGCCACTCCAATCGCCATATACCGCTTCGAGGAATGTCTGCGCCGTGAACAACTGGGCTTCCGAGGCATCTGATGCGGCTACTGAGGACAGGAGGACAGGGCTAATGGAGTTGTCCGGTGGTTTGATTGTTGATTCCAGGGACCGGAAGATAACGTCGAAGCTCATTTGTGTAAGGCCTCTCTGTGTCTTTGAGCCGAGAATAGTGTGACTCTGTACACAAAAGCCGTTAATATCTTTCTTTCCCGTCAATCACATACGTCTTTCATCGTCCGCACCTTTCCACTTCCTGTGACGCCCAGCGTGGCAACCAGCCCATCTCTGCCTTCAAGCAGTACACCTCTGACCAACGATTCCAGCCCAGTATCCTCAAAGACAGTCAATTGGGAAGCTGACTCGTCGAAAACCTTGGTGAAGCCGAATTTCTCGACGGCACGCTTCCTGGCATCATTTGGTGGCTGTAGTATAATGTGTGTTGGAATAGGAGCCGATGGCGCTCCATCATTCTCAGCACTGTTGGTCTTCTCCTCTGGAGACTCAATCACGAGACAACGTTCAGCATAAGGATCCTGGTGCTGCGAAACGGGAGGGCGAAGTCGCAGATAGACCTGGAAAAGGGAGGCTTGTGAGGGTCTTGATGTCGTACTCATGATGGCGATACCTGTAGGTGTTGGTCGGACGCCTGTAAGTTAGAGAAGGTCGAGAACCAAAGCAAAAGCTAAAAGAGTGACGACTTGATAGCAGCAGCTCTGGATGGTTTCCACAGTCGGAAGGGACGATATAATTCTTTCCTAATCGGGTTAGTAGTTGGTTGTCTAGACAACACATCCTAAAAAGGAAGTCGCTCGAGATGCCATATCCTTCAGGCTGCCACAATGACATGCATGCCTGTCCCGTCCCAGTACCTAACTTTCCACTGTGTCCCGCCAGTTCATCAATTCGTCCGAACAATTAAGGCCATGAAGGTCAGTCTGTACACCCTTTACTCCCAAGGCTCGCGAATCGATATGTTTTTCACCCTTCAGCATACCTGGCTGGCTGGCCGTTGGTTGGAGGCTTGGAGGCTTGGCTTTACTCACAATCCTCAGCCCCGCTCGTACTCGCCTAACTTCGAATCAGCATCGAGCTTGGTTGAACCACATCGGAGCATTGGATCATGTACCAGCCTTAGCAGCGTCATACCAACCCAAATTGGTTGCTCGTATTCTATGCCATGGTCATTCGTTCTTGGCAGCTAGTGCTTGCTACTCTGGGATCTGTTTTATACGAGAAAAGGGTTATAAGCCACAAATCAGGGCATCGGGCAAGACTGCGCCTCGACCCAGCCGAACAAGAAATGTCACTTCTGTGTAAATGCGGTAGCTTATTTGCCTTTATCGGATAAGCTGCTATACCTGTTTGGGCACCTCGTTTTCGCCAAAGTGCCCTGGGCTGCGACAATGAAGGCGATATCATGAGGGCTTTGCATATATGAAGGGCCTCTATGGTCCATATCGCAGGTTCAATATCCTGGACGACTTCGAGATAATCCAAGGCTGCTACAAGTCAAGTTATCAAGTTTCTCTTACTACTGCCTTCTACCAATTCCTATCAGAAACGACTGCCTCAAGGTACGACATCATCATGCTAGAGGCGAGATCACCACGCCGTAAGTCCAGTTGGACCACTGGTCAATATGGCCACCACCATCTCTAACATTATGTAGAAGAAGGAAGCTATTGGTATTATGCACCAAATAAAGCTGCTCCTATTGTCTTCGCATTGCTTTTTGCTGCGTCCGGTCTCACGCACATCTACCAGTGTTGGTATGACATAGCTGCCTCCAAGATGAAATGACAAGCACTGATCTCTGGGCCACAGCAAATACAAGTCGTGGAAGGTGACAGGCTTGCTGCCATGGTCCGCTACACTCTTCACAGCAGGGTTCATTATGCGGACCATTGGCGCTTTCGGTCAATGGGACGATCTAGGCATATTCATCGCGAGTAATGTTCTCTTGCTGGTCGGACCGTAAGTTTTCTGTCCATTGTGCATTTCTCGCTCGCCATGACTGACCTTTTTATAGTCCTGTCTACGAAGGAGCCAACTTCTTCACCCTGGGTCGCATTCTTTACTATGTCCCCTACCGCTCGCCAATCCATCCCGGCCGAGTATTTTCAACGTTTGTTGCCATGGGTATTGCGATTGAGGCGATCACAGCGAATGGAGCTGTTCTGGTGGCCAATACAGACAATAGTATCAGCAAGCAGAATACTGGCAAAGCGCTCCTCAAGGCTGCACTGATTTTACAGATTGCTTTGATGGTGGGATTCATCGCCCTTGCAAGCAGATTCTACCTCAATTGTCGCCGTGCAGGTGTCTTGAACAACAAGGTCAAACGTCCCCTGTATGTTCTGTTATGCAGCTGTACACTTATCACGGTGCGAACCATCTACCGAACGGTCGAGTACTTCACGACTGCGAGCCTCAACATTTACGACGTCTCAGATTTGAGTCCCATTCTGAAAGACGAATGGTTCTTCTGGGTTTTTGAGGCAGCCGTCATGTTCACAAATACCACTTTACTCAATGTCTTCCAT